TGGTCCCAGGCAGCCCCGCGCCCCGTTGCCTCACCGCGGTCGGGAGAGACGGTTGCGTTCTCTGTATTCACCCTCTCCCCTCAAAGAAATGCCGTTTCCTTTTAGGCTGAGTGAGACTCATTTTGTCCTCCCGTTCGTTTTTTATTTTTTTTGCAGTCGTGGAGGTGACTGAAGGCAACACGACCACAGTAAGTCCCCGCACCCCTTTTCCTCAGTCTCGGCTCTTGCCGTTTCATCTCCCTTCAGCCTCCTGGGATGTGTGTGCCCGTGTCCCCCAAGACCAAAAAAAAAAAGAAGATAAAAAAGAAAAAAAGTAAAATTCTCTCTTTTCTGCCTGAAAGACATCTCAGGGCGTGAAGGCAAAACCAAGGTAGGAGACTGTTGCGAGCGCAGGGAAGCGATGGAGGGTTTGGCTGCCGAAGGTTGGGGGCGCCCATCACCCCGTCAGTGGCACCAGCCCCCTCGCTGCACCCCTGTGTAAGGTGGAAGGCCTTGCCAGAGGCGTTCGTTGCCCAAAACGCAAGAGGCAGTTCATCAGATGGGCTCATTTCTTAAAGTCGAGACGCTTGGCATTGTCTCGAGCGTGGGCAGGTATGGAGAAGGTTTGCCTGGTGGCTTCGTCACTTCACCGTGGGCCAGCAACGGGACGTGGCATCGCGGGACGGCTCAGCACCGGCTGGGTGCCACGTGTGGCACTGGCCTTCGTCACCGTCGTGTTTGTTAATCATGGTGTGTGCCATAGTGACCGCGGGTGATACAAAGGTTGCATCTTGTAATGCACTTGGTAAGAAAAGAATTCAGCGAAAGGGGTTTTGTCAAAGGAGGACCTCAAATACTAAAGGAAAACTGCTCCTAAAAATACAACAGTCGTTCAGAAGTAACCGATAAAAAAGAACATTTTCACAGCTATGTTTTAAGACAAGAAGGAAACAACCAAAGCAGTAGAGTTAGAATTTTTTACTTAATTAGCACCATCTGATCTGCTGCACTTTATTAGGAGTATTGTCACTTTTTAGAAGCACTGAAATTATTTGGCAGGGGGAGGAGATTGCGTTATTCTGCTCCCATTACATATGCCAGTAGCAATCTATGCCTGGGCTGGAGACAAGCAGCACAGATAATTTTGAGGTGTTAACTATCATGAGGAGAGTGGAGCAGGAATTATTTGGGAGTAGCTAGAAGTCTACACCTAAATGCTAATGTATATATACAGAAATAATAAAGAGGGAAAATACTTTTTCGCTTGCTAATGAAACAGACAAAACCTGGTTGTTTATGCCTTTGAAACTGTATTTCCTTCTTGTCATATTTGTGTTAGTGGACATTGTCATATTTGAAACCTGAATGGAGCAGGTTACTTGTATTTTAGATACATAATATCAAATAGAATATGGTGATTTTCAAGATCTATGAGACTGCCAATAGAAGTAAGTTCAAGGTGCCGCAGTAGATCTGATGGAACATCTCTCTTTCTTCTCTTCACGTGCCAGACTACTAATCTTGGGGCAAGTGTGCACGCCAGCACAGCACACACAGTGGGCTGCTGTACATTGCACTCAGTTTCAAAGGGAGTGTAAATTATGAGAAAGTCCCAATGCATTAGCTGAGGCTCAAAGGTGAAACAGTGGGCATTGCAGTAGCAAAGCCCTTTAGAAAAATAATTCTTCCTGGCCTGTTGTAGAAGCATAAGGGAGATTTGGATATTTCTACAGTATAATATCCTGGCATCAGTCTAGTGCCCCTAGATGAGGAAAATGGTGTAAACTGACCAACCACAAAGAGGTGATGCATTTCTCAGTGTATCCCCTAGTCATTCCATTTATCCTACCAAATCTAGGTCAGCCTTTTCTGAATCTGTCTTTCTGTGCTCGTCTTTCTGTCTGTCCTTGCTTCTGTCAGTATTGAAGGAAGTGTTTGACATGAACCAGATGAATGAATCCCAGAGAAATCTGGATTTGACCAGCATACTGGGAATGTCGAGTCCGTGTATTCCCTCTTAGTTCTATAACAGAAGAATAATAACTGAGTGGACTAAAATTATGAAAGTCCTCAGTAGTTGGGGAATAATTGCAAAAAGAACTGTACACTGGAATTTATCTCAAGAAAAATTCATAGCATGCTGAATCTTTATTCATTTCCAAGATGGAATTACAGTCAAAGTACAGTCTAAAGCCAGACAGGCAAGAACCAAGACCAGATGCACCAGCTTCCCAGGAAATAACTTTACTGATTCTGGGCTGTATTTTATATTCATAGTTACTTTTTTGGTTTTGTAAAACTGGCTGTTCAATTTTGAGGGGGGAGAAATCTTGCTTAAAAATCGACAACATTCTCCCTATTTGAGGTTCTGAGATGCTTGAACTGCAAGTAACTGATCTGTTTCCACTTTGCCATTGCTAGGCAAAAATGACACAAATCCATGGTATAAAATAGTTCTGACAGTTCAGCTGGATGCCAGTGTCCCATGCTCCCCTACACTGACCCCATTACAGAGAATGTCATGCTTTTCTCTTCCTGGGTTTTCAGGCACAAAACCTGACAGTTCAGTCTAAATCAGTCATCTTTTTTCTTAAAAGTAACATTGCATTCCACCCAGGGTTTCTTTTTAAACTCTCTGGTGCTTGCGCTATTTGAGGCTGTCAGTTGGTGTTCAGAAATCTGGTTTTAATCTTAATTTGGCCAGAAGAAACTTCCAAAATATTTTTGACGGGAAAAAAAAAAAATCTTAGTTTTATTGTCTGTTCTGTCCATTCAGCTGCAATTTGGGATAGGTCTTGTTTCTATTCCTAAGTCCTCAAAAAAAGAAACATGTAGATAGACTTAATATTCCTAACATATCTACATTTAGAAAAAAAAATTCTCAAGTTCTTCCCACACACACCTTCTACATCTTTTTGCATGTTACTTTGGAGAAGATGTGAGTGTTGGATGTCACCATTTTTTAGTGGTATAGAAAAAATTATAAAATGATCTCCTAAAGGAATTGTTCAGGGAATTAAACTGGATAAAATGTTGCTTTATTTAATAAATAAATAAAAAACAAAAGCAAACAAATAATAGAAAACCACAAACCCACAGACATCTCCTAAGAGTCCTTTCTTAAATATTTTTTCTCTGAATTTTCCCTGTTGGTGATTTACGATCTTGCACGCCCCTGCATGTTTTCATCCACAATGTTCATCTGCTATTCTGTGACGTTCTCATATTCCTGGAAAAAAAATGTTTTAAAGGTTTTGGCTAAAGAGCCACTACAATTTCAAGGCGTGGTTGTTCAAAGGAGTACTGCAATAAATGGAATTGAGGCAAATATGAGAACTTCACACTGACTGAACTAGCTTATATTTAGTGAAACATATACAGGAATTTACCAAGTGGTTCTATATGCCCCTTGAATTTGTTCATTTCGCCATAGTTTGTGTATATCCAAAGTGTTTTCTATAGATAAGCATGTTGAATAATGCAGATACTGTTCCCCTTATATCTGCACAGTACTGGTCAACATGTTGTGGAGTTAAGGAGAAGTATTCCTCAAGCCATGGGAGCAGGTAGAGGTCTAAACTATGCCTGATCGTTATATCCTTTGAATTGTTTCCTAGATTGAAGGGAGAATTATAGAGGATGCTGAAGCACCAACTCCTCCAAACCCCTCTGGCCAGTGTCCCATCTGTCGCTGGAACCTGAAGCATAAGTACAATTATGTGGTAAGTTTAACGAAGGAGAGTTCCCCTGTCCTCACAGCGAGTTAAATATTGCTCTCAGATCTACATACGGCACAACCTGCCCCTCTTATCTTTTGCTGGGTGTAGTAAAGATAATTAGCTCCATCGATGCTTCTCTTGGGTGTAACGAGAGCTTCCTACATGGTAATTGTTTGCCTTGTCTGATGACATTCCTGGGAAGAAGGATGAGTTCATATTACACAGGAGGTTTGGAATTGCACACATGGCCATGTGATCTGAGAAGGCTGTGTATCTTTTCTGTGTTCAGCTGCCTTTCAACTTTGCACTCCCAGAAGCAGCAAACTGGAATGCAGCATTTAGTCAACTGATTCAGGCATATTCTAGCTCCAGAGAGGCCGAAAGGTTTGACTAGGTTAATTATAGCGTCACAGTTTCTCACTGGATTATTGTCCACTGAGGCAATAACTGTTTCATGTAACTTCTAAAACTCTTGTTGGATATGAAGGACAGCAAATGTGTTTGCATCCCTTGCAACATTAAAAATAGGTTTGATTCAAGCTTTTTGCAGTGAATGCTAATCAGGAGTTTATTAACTAATGAGATGATTACTAACACTAAATGTAGAAGATGGGAAGGAAATCCTCTAATATTTCAGAATAAAAGCAAACAGTCAAGAACACTTGAGGATGCAGAATGTAACTTTGCAAGAGGTCATTCAAAACTCAGAATTAAGGTAATGTCAGTAAGATTAGGGTAAGAGAAAGACAAGTGCATTTGGAGGAAAAGAAGTCTTTGTGAGAAAGAAAGTCCATTAAGGAGAAGGGCACTGAAAGCCACATTGCCTGCAGAATGACTATGCTGCTTGCATGCAGTCCTAGCGCACACACAGAAATTATGTTTTAATAGCTAGGTAGTAATGGCAATCTTGCAAATGTAAAACAACAGTTGCATGTAGCCCCAGGTTCTTAAGGGAATTAGCTAATGAATATGTAACTTCACTAGCAGGATTTTTTTAAAGCATAAAAAAAATCGTAGAGAATCACCTAAGGGTTTAAAAATAGCAAATGAAATACTAAGTAGTTAAGAGAGGAAGGAGAATGATGATGATTACCACTTGGTAAATGAAACAGTGCAAATTCCAAGTAACATGGTATCAACGAGGAGTAAAACCAAGTAACTTGTTGAATAAGGTGATTATGATTAATGAATTATGAAGAGCATGAGTACAGCAATAATGCCAGACAAAATACTTGCAATTACTTTGGCAGGTGAAACAAGAAGTGTGAGATGTAAATGAAACAGCAGCTTTGGATTTTTCAAAGCCTGTGTTGCAGAAATTGCAAAAATTGCTTAGGATCTGAGTGCTGTCAGGGATTCTGAAACAGTGAAATAAGTTCAGGGCAGTGTTCTCTGGTCTGATTTCTCAACAATCTAGGAAAGCTAGGAGGACTAAAAATACAACAGATTTGGATATGATAATAAATTAGGAGAAATAGCAAATACTATTTGTGGAAAGTACTGCAAAAACAGATCATGTTTGTTTTGTGTGGACAATATTTGAATGCAGCAGTTTCTTACAAATCTTCTCCATGGTTGCTGAATTGTGTTGTGATCAAAACAGACTAATCACACTGGAAAATACTTTCTTAAGATTAATATGGTTTTACATGATTTTTAAATGTGAGGAGTCAACAGCATCATTAAACTGGGTAGTTCTGCAAATTTCCAGAAAGCATTCCATGAGTTGCACATTAACAGCTCCACAGAAACCATGAACTGATGCACATGGATGAATTGAGCCATGGGAGTGGATTAAATCTTGGAAATTCATGTCAACTCACTTTTCATTGTTGTCTGAGGTAGGAGACTGTGTTGCACATAAAGATAATAATGCTATCAAGAACCAAAAAGCAGGTTTAGGTAATGTGACCGCTGTATAGCAAGAGTTCTGGGATTAGAAGTAGGCTGTTGGTCCAAACAGACAGTGTAAAGCGTGAATCTTGGATGTGTTTGTGGAGTGAACCAAGATTACAAGTTTTCTTCTGCACTTCAGTTTGATTCTTAGATCCTAATTTCTGCTGTTCAGTATGGAGACAAGAGGAAATCAAATGTGAGGAGAGGTCTTGCAGCCAGTCTTGAGAATCATTGTTGAGATCGGTCCTAAGAAATTGTGTAAGAAATTGTCTTGAGAGGCCAGCTAGGAACGTGTCCGTCCTGGATGGCATGTTGTTTTTGAATGCATATGCCTCTGGTGTACATACATCCAGCACTCCTGCTGTAGAAGAGAGGAGAACCTGGACAAAACGCTGAAGAGGGTGGTGTGAACTGGTATTCAGAATTGTATAAGTTTCTTACCTCAGTATTTAGAAGCATTCCTCTGTGAGATTGATAAAAACTATGAGAAATTTCAGGTTTGGAGTAGACCACCTCTTCTGCTTGAGTAAGTCCCTCGTATGTGTGAATATCTTGTACCAGTCATGGATTTTTAGGCTTTTAAATGTTTAAATCAGTGAATAAAATCTCCCTTTTCTGCACAAAAGCGCTCTCTGCTCTTTTTCTTTGCTGCAGCAGCAATGAGCAGCAGAATCTTGAAACGCTCAAATAATAAAATGCAGGCATTTAACTGTATGGGTAATTAAACAGTGGCACAATTTACTCACTGATGGTTAATTGTCCTAAAAGTCTATAAATTGAAAACGGCTGTTTTTGTTAAAGGTATAGCCTAGTTCATACAGCATAACCTGTAATCTGCGCTTGGTAAGAGATCAGAATAGATGCATCACAGTAGTTCCTTTGAGATTGATAAACCGAGATCAGTCAGTTGCACAGAAGGGAAAGTGTGAGCTTTTTTGCTTGGGACGCCTGTAATTGGGCTGAATGAGGCACTATGAAAAGGGAAGTGTTGAATTAGCCCCTGAGGGAGCTGAGTAATATGACCTCATAGGACTTGCCTTTTGTCATGTGCAACTAGCACGGTCTAAAGTAGCAGCATAATGAGTTACTTTGGCTGTCAGAGAACTGGGGGACCAATGTCCCCAGTTATTAATCAACCGAACAAGCATTGTGAGCGCTAGCAGGTCACGATTCCAACCTGCCTCAGCTGTGGTGGAGGCCTGCGGTTGTCGTTGCCAGTTCAGTCCTTAGTCCCTGCTGAGGCTCGGGATAACTGAGCCTAAGATAAAAATTCCCACTGTTTGTGGTCTGCGTGTGTCTGCCCATTGAAACTGAGACCTCGGTTGATTTTTTTTTTTCCCCCACATCCATTGGAGACAAAAAATTATTTTGGTCATTGTTAGGATGCAACTTGATTGAAACCTGCAACTGTGTTACAAAATGACTGGAGAACGGCGTACCACTCCTGAGAGTAAGGGAGAAAGGAAAAACTAGGCTGTTGTGTAACTGGAAATAATGACTGGCAGACTTGTCTGATACAGCCCGGTAGTAATTTGGCTGCACAGACAGAACTCTTCTTGCGGTAAATAAAGATTTTAATGAATCGCATGTAAGCAGTCAAGGATCCTGCTTTGCAAAGTGTCTGCAGATATTAAAATGCAGAGGTGCCTCTGCATTCTAGTTGCCATCCATTCACAAGATCGTGTTGTACATAGTGTTCCGTTTAGCAAGTTTATCCAGCCCTTTTAGAGGTGAAGGCTAAACTTGTTTTTCATTTTCCCCCTTATCCACTTCAAACATCATTAGTGTGAGTAGGCAGTAAATATGTCATCTTGCTTTGGCAGCAATTAGGGGAAACCAAACTGCAAGCTTTGCCTATTAGCCCTAGATTAATTCAATCCAAGTTGTTTTCATCAAACGCTGCAGATTACAGGGGTGGGAATCTGGGTCCAGCCTCGTGGGAGCTGTCCAGTGATTAAAGCAAATCTGTGGTTACAGGCTTGGCTGTCCACTAGCACGGAATATGAATTTCATGGAACATGACGGCACCATGACAACTTGCCAGACGTATTTTTTTCTTTGACTGCTCCACACACTTGTTTGCTTCCCACCACAGCTGCCCCATAAAGTTGGCTGTACCTGTCTGCTTTCTCCCTGTGGTAAGATGCATCTGTGCGAGTACTCTGGGAGAGGCACCTGGCCTGTTAACTGTGGGGATTTTCAGAAACGGACAAGCCTTCTTTCAAGTGTGCAGCATTTTAAGCCAAACGGCATCAGTGTCATCTGGAGTAGCAGCAGCTGAGACCTAGATGATTTCAGTTACGAAATGACTGCCACACAAGGGGGTTGGGCAGCTGGTGCCACTGTTGGTCACAAATGAGAACAAAGAATCATAGCATCGTAGAATCATAGAATCATGGAATGGCCTAGGCTGGAAGAGACCTTAGAGATCATTTAATCCAACCTCCCTGTCACAGGCAGGGACGCCTCTCAATGGGTTTTCCTGATTTTTTTCCATGCGGAGAAAAAGAAAGACATCTCCCTTTGCTTCCCGCCTCCCTGCTTTGCCTGGAAACAGTTGATAACAAGGCTGTGACTCCACCAGGCGTGGTACTAATATGAGAAATTGCTTGGACCACACACACCCTTCACAAGAGCCTGTGGCCTACTTAGGCTTTCACGGCTGCAAAGACTGGAACAACCTCAAACTTGCCATCAGCTTCCTTTTTCCTCTCCCCCTCAGCGTAATGTAGCATGCTAGTAGAAAAGTCTAGAAAGTTTTTCTCGGTACTTGGAGCCAAACAGCCTTTTTTCTCTTAGGGAAGAGATACAGTTTTGCTAAATGGCACATTGACCTGTTGGTGATTTGGAGAATCAGATGGCTAAAGAAGAGGAGAACGACAGGATGGAGCCTCGTTCTGTTTTCCTGAATCCAATCCAGTGCATTTTAGGAGTGGACGAAAGTCAGTGCCCTTGGATTGTTTGGCTGGCCTCCATCCAGTTTCCACCGACGCGCCTGGCACCAACTGGTCCCCTGGTTACTGCTCTCATTGGCCAGGCCAGTGCATTTTCTGGGCTGAGGACACTTTGCTTCCATTTTAACCATAGATGGCCTCTCAGGAGCTTGCTGCTTTTCTTGTTGTTTGGACACAAGAACTGTATAGTGGTTGATAGGTCATTTTGTATCGGTGAGAAGTTGCCTAGCCTGCTGTGTTTTCAAAGGAGCTGGATCTGAAAATCACTGCAAACACATTAACTGGAGACAAATGAAAGGAAGCCAGATAAGGGGAGAGGGAAATTGTGTGTTGTGATGATATTGGTGAGCATGGGATTGAAGACGGGGAGGGGGAAGAACAAAAAGAAACCACAAAAACCCCAAAGCAACAACCTCTAAATTTTTACTGCAACACTTGTGTGACAGCGTCTGTCAGAACTGGTCATTACCAGAAAGCCGTAACAAATTCCAGCAGCCCCCTTCAGACATGGGCTGGTCTTGCACAGTGGGGGTGGACATGTAATTCCTAGATAGCTAGGTTTTCTGAATATTCATTTTATATCCACTTGTGATTGTTTGTTTTTGCAAGGGCAGTAAATGAAGCTAGGAATGCTCCAGGGAGCCCTTTGTAAAAAAGCAAAGATACGGGGGTGGGAGCAGGCCTGCGAGTCTGTGAACAACAGGCAGAGTCAGGGTCACCCAACGTGAAAAGCAATAAGTACTCTTTGTTCTTGCCCTTGCCTTAGACTGGGGGGCGGGGGGAAAGTGTAAAGTGCTGACATACCTGGTTTGAGTTCTCATTCTGTCAAGGTGCTTGCTGGCAGGTCCCTTCCTCAACTATGAACATCGTTACAACAGTGGTGGAGAAGTAAACTCTAAACCAGCAACAAATCTGCCAACAGATGGGGAAAAACGAGCACAGAGTCTCCAGAGGCCCTTTGGGCCAACTTGTGCTGACGTGAGCATGTCAAGGAGACCTGTCTTTGTTGGCCTGAGGGGTACATGTGCACTGGTGCTGTGTGTGGAAACGGAGAGCACGTATCTAAATATCGGTCTGTTGTACTGTGTACAGTTAATGGGACACTTGTGCAAGAGCTGTTGCTGCTGTGTTTAAAAATTTGTCATCCCAGCCCTGTGATAATATCTGATCCTAGAGATCCCTTTTCTTTTGTTTTTGTTAAGGGTGCTTTACATTTCTAGAGCTCTCAATTGGAAAGGTCAACAGCAGTATAATCTAAACGATTCTTGAACCACAGAGGGGGAACCCTCAACATGCTCCAAGAGCTCCCTCCATCCAGCATGGCTGTAGCAGCACCACCTAATGCACGCACAGTTGAAGCACTGAAGGCAGCAATTTATCTTGTTAGGTCTTTCTCATCAGCACACGTTCTTTTCTTACAAAAAGCTTCTTCATGCAAAATCTTGGACCATTTTCCTGCTCTCCACCCCTCCAGAGAGACACAAGGGAAGTTCCACCATGGGAAACTGGATAAAAGTTTGAACAGTAGATAGCAGAGAACAATCCTGCTCTGAGGGAACAAGGAGGGGGCCAGATCTAACATATCTGTGACCTTTAGGATAGCAGCTGCGATGGCATTTTAAGTTGTGTAAACACCGTCCATCTGTAGGTCTTGTGTAATTGTGCCTGAGTACCTAGGACACATTATCTTAGCTAGAATCTTGGAGCAAGCGACAGTGAAGTAGCAGGGATTGCAGCTGACATCATGTGTTTACACTGGTGAAGTCAGGGGAAGACTCAAACCATCTGAGTGACCTTACTGAGCTAAGCTGGCAGGCGGAGCGACAGCAAGCAAAAGCCACTTGTTGTCAAGCTGTGGCCAAAATGCGTAAGAAGGAATCATTGTTTTGTTTTGCTTTGTTCTGAGTTCTGTACACAGTGCTGAGGGTCATCGCAGCACCTAAGAATCAGAGCAGTTAAAGTAGCTGTAGCACTGATGGTTTTGCCCTTCTCTTGCTCCCTCAGGACGTCTTGCTGCTGAGTCAGTTTATCCGTTCTGATGGAGGGATGCTGCCACGAAGGATCACAGGCCTCTGTTTGGAGGAGCACAAGAAGATTGCCGTGTGCGTGCAGATGGCTCACCGTGCAGGTACCTCGCCTCCTCCTGAGACAAGCCCTTACTGGGGGGGTACACACAGAACCCCTTGAGAGGAGTCTCCCACCCAATTAGTATAGCTCAGTGAGAGGTCGTTGTCCAGTCCGCTCCCAGCAAACTCGTTATGGTCCAAGTGCTGGGACAGGATGATAATACAGAGACTACTTGTTCTGCTCACTACGTGTCTTGGCCCCTGCCTTGGCAGCAGATGTGTATCCCTGTAGATGAGTCTATATTTGCAGAGAGATCTGGGAAGTGTCTTAGTCTGTAGTAACTAACAATTAAATACCAGTTTCTGAAATTACTTGATTTAATGTAAGCTTGACCTACCCTGTTAATAACAGGCACCTGTCTACTGTCTGCCATGTGAAGACTTTTTGGCTTTACCCTGGGAGTGAGTCCCAGGTTGACACAGTCGGAGTATTCGGCTGATCTTTTTGCCTGGTACCTGAGTTGTATTCAAGTTAAGTGAACTGAGAAGCTTAATAGATTTTCATCCTGGAGATGGAAGTTAATTGGACACCAGTGCCCTGTGTCCTCTCAGAAAGCCTTTTTGGTGAGCCTAAGTGACTATGGCTTTGGTGTGTATTTCCTGTCTATACCCAGGAGAACCTCCTAGCTTCTCTTTGGCAGGTATGCAGATTCAGCAATGACTAAAGATAAAATTCACTTTCAACTGTACTTGAGTTTTTGCTATGCTGTCCCAGTAAGGGACATGAGTTGCCTGGCTTACAAGGTGAAATGTAACTTCTGGATCCTAGAGAGGCAAAGAGACACTGCAAAATATTCTCACACCTTTCTTTTTCAGGTTTGTTGCCAAACCACAGGCCTCCACTACCTGAGGGCCATATTCCCAAGAAACCCAAGCTCAACAGGTGAATGGTCTTATCTTTCCACATCTCTTTTTTTTCAGGAATAGATTGGAAGAGGAAAAACAGTTCCTTATAACTAGGTAAAACATGCTCCAGGCAACAGGGCTCATTAAGCCTACTCATAGTACGTCAGAGAAGGAAGATCTGCTACGATATTCTCTTGCCAGTCTTTTAAGAACAAACCACATCTCATTCAAAGCACTTATCCACATAGGATTAAAACAGCCACACATGTTAGAGTCTGCCCTCTTTTCCTCAGCTGCACTCGCTTCCTCATCACTAGCAGTCAGTTGGGCAGTCACAGGAAGATGCCACTGAGATGGAGTCACAGCATCACAGAGTAGTTGAGGTTGGAAGGGGCTTCTGGAGATCATCTAGTCCAAGCCCCCTGCTCAAGCAGGTTACCGAGGACTCTGTCCCGTCAAGTTTTGAATATCTCCAAGGCTGGACCTTCCACAGTTTCTCTGGGCAGCTGGTGGCAGAGAACCACCTTCATAGTGAGACAGTGTTTGCTGACGTTCAGACAAAAAATTTCATGTGTTTCAATTTGTGCCTATTGCTTCTTGTCCTATCACAAGACACCACTGGTAAGAACCTGGCTTCGTCTTCTTGACACCCTCCCTTCAGGTATTTATAAACATTGGTAAGACCCCCCTGAGCCTTGTTTTCTCCAGGCTGAGCAGTCCCTTTTCTCTTAGCGTTTTGATACCTGGTCCCTAATAGCAGGAAGGGTGCCCCAGCAGTGAGGGGGGGCGGGGCTAAGCAGCCAGCAGGGGCCCATCACAACCCTGTTCCCCTCTGCTCCCTCTCAGTCAGCAATTTGACCTCCACCTGCCTTCCCTATGCGACAGGGTCTCTTCCCCCTCTGCAGCCTGAATGGCCCCTGGCTTTTGGTGGGTGAAGGGAAAGCCTTTGGCTACCTTCTACACTGTGCTGGGCACTTGGAGGTGCTAATCCCCTGTTTATGACCTCACACTCTGTTTCCATGGGGATGTCAGAGCAGTTTATGAACCTCGCATTAGCAAGCCCTGGGGTTACCAGAGGCCATGGAGCTGTTGCTGGGAGAGCTTATGCTGCAGCACTGGGAACAGCTGGAGACTCCTGCATTTCAGGTCTGACTCTGCAGTGGAGATTTGAGGCAAGCTCTTGGAATGTCACTTGGATGTTGGCAGACTGCATACTGTGTATCAGTGAGGATCAAATTAGAGCACTCTACGTTTGATGCAGCCCTTCAGCCATCAGATACTTCAACTCCGAAAACCTTTTTCCTAGTCTTACAAGTCTTTGGGATTCTTTAGTAGCTTTGTCTATCTAGCAGCTGTGGGGTGGAGCACATTATCTATTTGGCATTCACATAGCCAGCATAGCAGGTTGAGACAGGAAATGGTACATCCTGTATCTTGCTGAAATCACACCAGGACTCCAGATCTAATGCCCTGACTCTTATAAATTGTTCCATAGACTTCTAGTGAGAACAAAGAATGGATAGCTCCAGATAACGTTCTACATGCAAGGAGGGGTGCTACACCTCTAAAATTAAGAAATTTAAATTGGAGATTAGTAGCCAAGCCCTCCTCCCTATTGCATTGCTACTACCTCCTTATACCAACGTTGTTTTTCTCCTCTCAGCAAAGGAACGTCTCCAGCAGAGTGGAAGCAGAGTTTAGAAAAAAAGACCAGAGCTGTTGCTGAGAAGATGAAACAGCATTGAAATAGGCAAGCTTTGGGATCAGGGTGGAGACAAAAGAATGGGATCAAGAAATCTGATAGAAAGTTTTGGTGGTGGGGCTGGAACTGAACAAATGAGTCGCAGAGCCAGAATAGAGTGCAGGGCTACTTCAGGAGTGCTCTGCTCATCCCTCGTTATACTGCCTTCTCAGCCTGCTGGAAGGGGAAAGCTCTGTGTATTGGGGCCTTGTGAAATCTTGGCCATTGTGGTTCTATGAGAGTTTTGACTGTGCGTACCCTCACCTGTGCTTCCCGCATTGCTCTTTGGAACAGTAGCTGGCACCACATCAGGCAGGAGTTACAGACTGCTTCCTTCCTCTAGCCTAAAGGGTACCCACATGCTGAAGACATTCAGCCAATACTAGAACTCTTAGAAAAAGTTTCCCACATAAAGGACTTGTCCAAGCTTACCTTGTCTTTGCCTCTGTACTTGTTTCTAAGTCTTTCTGCAAGTCTGTATAATTTGAGAAGTGTTCAACCTGTGGTGCTGCCAAATGCAAGTGAGCTAGCATGGGAGGACAGGGGCAGAATTGGACTGGGACTTTTGAGTGGAACAAGCTGCCTTGTTCAATGCCATGAGAACATTACCAGGCCATCCTCTAATCCTGTCTGATGTCATATCAGGGCTGCACTCCTGACTTAGGCCATTCCTTCACTGTGTTTGTGTCTGCTGGGTTTTTAAGTGCCAGTTCAAGAAGAGATCAACAGGATCTACAGAGGCCCTACTATAGCAGGCAGTACATTGCATAGTTAGGTGACGCATTTTCGAAATCCTTGAGCTTCAGCTCTTATTGAGATCACTGTACTGGCTGCTGCAGTCATCTTTACCTCTCTGCTTAAACAAGAGGTAATAGTGCCTTTTTACACTGCTGCTGTAGCACTGGGAACACCAACGAGGAGAAAATGAGGTTCCTCATAATATGCTTGAGTCTCTTTTTAAAGCTCTTCCAAGACAGAAACACAGATAATGTACTTTCCTTAACATCAGTTTAACCAGCTTGTGTGCTCTCCAGCTCTGCCTGCAGTGATGGCTTTTTCCTTGCTCCATCAGTGGATCTACTCTGAGTGTGGTGTTGAAATACGCTCTTCTGCACCCCAGCCCCTCAAAAATAACCCTCACCAACAACACTTCAGGAGCACTTTGAAGTGCAGGAGCTATTGAATTGCCACCAGCTGCTTGAGGGACCTTTAAAGTGATCTGTGAAGGAGCCAGGGATCCTGGTACAGCAGTTTGCCCACTGCTGTGCACCGATGCTTGCAAAGGTGAAAGGTGTCATGTTCTTGGCTTGGCAGGAGTCTGATCCTCCTTGGTCAAAATAACACAGTCATGCAGCAGTAAGCCAGTGAACAGAGACAGGGCCACAAACTGAGACAGATAGTTCTTACAGGTGGTTAGTAGTATCCAGTATACTGAGAATTTAGTCCATTCCCAGTCATGTGGCCTCTATTCCTTCTGTCTCTCCCCGTCGCTCATGTGCATTTACTCTCTTGCCATCAGGAGCTTGCACTGCACATGGAAGAAAGCTTTGCATACAGAAGACATAGTTCCTGCTATACTGTCCTAAAATAGGAAGATGCAAAGAAAAGAATAAAGCACTGTGAAGGTGTATAGTGTGTGTCAAGCTGGTGACAATAAGTTTTGCCCTGCTGAAGGACAGCATTTCTCCCAGAGTCTTATCTGTACTTGCATGTGCTCACACCTGCCCCAAAATTCCTCTCATTGCCCCGCTGTAATCAATACATTGTCTAACTCTTCACTCTGAATTGAGAAATCTTTCACTGTTCTAAAGGAAGGACTTCTGAGAAATCAGTCTATTCCAGATGTTTCCACACATACTTCTATGAGCAT